GGCAAGGATTGTGCTTGCTCAATACTGGAAGAGTGAGGGACTACCCACAGAGGAACTGATTTTAAAAAATATTCTGGACTGTGCAGAAATGGACAGATTGACGCTATTACTGAAGGAGAAAGAAGATATTGACTTCTATCAAACTTGGGACCTTTTTTATGATTGGCTGGAGAAACGGGACTTGGCTTAGATTTAAAGATGTTTTTAAATTTTTATAAATCGAACTGAATATGATTACAGAATGTTAAAAAGATATGTTATAGGGGGCTGACCCAGTACGTCCGATGTATTTGATGATTTTTTTTAGTTTTAAAATCTTAATAAAAATCTTTATTAAAAAAAGAGTTGCTCTATGGATGTGATAACAGTTAAACCCATACTACAGTGGGTGACATCTAGTATCATGCAAGTGGACTTCCCTCTCTTTTTCTCCCCCAATTGTCCTCAGATCTGCCCTAGAAGATTTCCTAACTCTCCAGAGTAGATTTGGGAAGAACATATAGGGGATGAAAGGGGAAGAAACATTCATTCCACTCATGTTATCCGTTCCACTGGAGGATAGTACACTGTTGGATTTCAGCCATCATGTTTAAGAGTTTCCATTTGCCGTATGCATTCTACTTATATAGTCAGTAACTGCCAGGATCAGCATCTAGCATCTTTGGACTCTCCTTTAAAAAAAAAAGAAACAAAAACAACAACAACAAAACCCTCTGGCCTGGCACATGGAGCCGCTAGTCCCTATTTAAATTTCTTACAATGCACAGTAGCTCTCGGACAGTGACAAATTTAAATGGTGACTCTTTGTGAAGCTGCTGCCTGATAAGCTAGTCAGGGTGTACTGAGAAAGGAGATGAGTTCTACCAAAGCACAGTTTATCCAGGGACCCCTCTAATTAGCAACCATCTCATTCAGACCTGTGACCTTTAAAAAGATATTGACATGGAAAAAGCACCAGTTAGTATCTGCAGCCAGATATGAAAGTAGATAAGCCATGTGCGGCTTTCTCTGCAGTGGCGCCCCATCTTTGGAATGCGCTCCCCAGAGAGGTCTGCCTGGCGCCGTTGTTATTTGTTTTTTGACGTCAGGCTAAGACCTTTTTATTTAAACAATATTTTAACAATTCTTAATAATACCTATAAGGTTTTAATTTTGCAGCCAGGGTGTTTTTGGGGTTTTAATTGTATTATTTCTATGTACTATGTTTATTTATTTATGTGAGTCGTCCCGAGGCTATAAGCGATGGGACGGCATACAAAAATTCTAAATAAATAATGTGCCAAGCATCTAACAGATGAAACATGTTTAATGGTAAGGATGGCAGTGCACAATGTACACACTGACACAAATACATACAAATACCAACAATAGATACAGAAGTATGTACCCACATCAGAATCTTCATTTACTCTGGGCAATATTCTGCCTGCAGCTGACTATGATCAGAGTATTCTTAGAGTTTACTGTTTCTTTGATTTTTTCAAAGCACTTGCAGGATGCATTTTAGAACGGGGTAAAATGGCCAAATGGGCTTCTTGGGTGCCTAATATTAAGGTGGCTTGCAATAATTGCCCTCAATTTCAACACGTCCGGGGGCTGAAGGAAGGAGAACTCTAGGTTGTTTCACACAACAAGAAACTGAGTGCATACTGGAAGACTGCAGGGGCTCAGTGTCAGGACATGTACAACCAGTGAACAAGGCACAAGCTGGAAATGAAATAGTGAGATTCTGTACTTCCTTTTGCACCAAAAGGAAAGTGGCAAGGATACATTTTTCCACTACTTGGCATCCTGATATCTGATATTAAAATGCATTTTATTTGTGATTAAGACACACAAAGTAGTTGCTATCATGTGCCATTAAGTCACCTTTGACTTATGGATGGCCCTATGTATGAAAGCCCTCCAAGATGCCCTATCCATGATGGCCCTGCTCAGCTCTTGTACATTCCAGGCCATGGTTTCCCTTATGAAGTCAAACCATCTCAGATGTTGTCTTCCTGTTCTTCTTCTGCCTTTGACTTTCCCTAGGATTATCTTCCCCAGTGAGTATTATCTTTCCTTAGCATTATCTGCTCATGATGTGCGCAAAGAATGACAGCCTCAGTTTGTAACTTTCTGCATTTAGGAAAAGCTCTGGCTTCATTTCATCTAGGACCCACTTGTTTATCTTTCTGTCAGTCCGGGGAATTTGCCCTCTCACCATGTTAAGCTGTGCATCCAAGAAAAGGAAGATACACATCCACAAACTTAATCCTTTTTACTTAAACACATGTTACAAGAGCAAAATTTTAGGACAACCACTTCCTCCCCAGTGCTTCAGATCTAGTAACATATAATAAAAAACTATTCCTAGTCAAGTGAGAGAACTATGTCTAATTTTGGGAAGAGAGAAATACACTCCTATTATTATTTTCATTTCATATTCATTAGATTTGTTTATAGTTGGACATTTACTGTTCTTTGTTTACTTGTTCCATTTTAGGTAGTGGAATACTCTGTCTTAGAGCAGCCCCCCCATGCAGCACTCATCAGTGCTGTAGTGTCCACACAGTTCATCATGTCCTGCACACTTAAAAAAAAAATGAAAACATTGGAGAGACAGGTTCCCCTTCCTATTCCTGAGCCTGCTGCTAACCAGCTGCTCAGCTGGCAGGAAGACAATACCAGGCAAAGGGGGAGAGAAACAGTGAGGCTGAAGGCTAGCAGTGGGGATAAATAGAAAAACACAAATGTGTGGGAAGAGAAATAGTGATGCTAGAGCCTAGGAAGGGAGAAAAACATCAAGACAAAGTGGCTCGGTTAAGAAGGAAGGAAAAGAAGGCTAGGGATGGAGATGGGTGAGAAACAGTGAGGAAATGGGTTCAGGAAGAGAAAGCAAGCCTAGAGAATGGGAACAAAAGGGAACACAGTGGAAAGTTCTGTAAGGGTAACAGAAGAAGAGATGGACCAGTAGGCAAATCTTTCCATTTCCTCTTCCCTTCCATTTCTCTCCCTTCCAAACTTCTTGACTAGACAGGCCCACATAGCAGCCTTTATGCAACAAGCCACATCCTCCATGGGAGTCATTTTATGGTGATACCCGCAGCAGTTTCTCAAATGTGCCCACATAGTTCTACAAGGGTTGTGGACCCTTGTATCTAAGATACATATAAACTGAAGACAGGAAGCTGGAAGCTGCCCTATACAAAGTCAGAGTATTCATTCATTCATCCATTCATCTAGCTCAGTATTATAATCACTGATTGGCAAAGGTTCTCCAGAATTTCAGGCAAGAGATTAATATCCAGAGATGCAAGAGATTGAAGCTAGAACTTTTTGCATGGAAAGTCTGTGTCCTCTCCGTGAACTAGAGCTCTTAGGATTTGATATATTTACTGGGGAGGTGTAATCTGCATGGCCAAGGTACCTGTGGGTTTCAGCTCTGTAGTTTTTCTAGGACTAAATCCCTGAAGTTTGAAATACTCACTTCCTTTCCATGTTGGGGAAACTACCTTTCTAAATCTTCTTTAAAGTCATAAATCCTTCTGGAGCAATTGTCTGGGGGTGGGGGTGAAAGGTACTGCACTGCAGTGGTTACATTCCTACTTGTATGGTTGCCTCCAGAAGGTGGTGCTTGGGGGATATTATTTTGCCCTAAGATCCTCCAGTATGGAGTTCCTTAGGGGTCAGTCTTGCTCCCCATGCTATTTAATATCTACATTGGATGAGGTTAGTTGGAGTTTTGAAATGCACAGTCATCAGTATGCTGATGACACACAACTCTATCTCTCATCATCAACAGGTGAGGCTGTGGATGTTGCTGGCTGCAACAATGGACTGGTTGAGGACTAACTTACTGAAGCTTCAGTCAAGACTGAGATGCTGTTGGTGGGTGGTTCTTCTGACCAGATGGAGGGAATCCAACCTGTTCTAGATGGGGTTGCACTCCCCCTGAAGGAGCAAGTTCATAGCTTGGGGTGCTCCTTGAGCTATCTTTATCACATGAGGCCCAGGTGACTTCAGTGGCTTGGAGTGCCTTCTAGCAGCTTTGGCTAGTAGCTCAGTTATGTCTCTATCTGGACAGAAATAGCCTGCTATCAGTGATCCATGCTCTAGTCTCTAAGCTAGACTACTGCAATGTACTCTATATGGAGCTGCCATTGAGGACTGTTTGGAAGCTACAGCTTGTGCAAAATGTAGCTGCCAGATTAATAACAGGGATCAGACAGCTTGATCATATGACACCAATTCTGACCCACTTGCACTGGCTGCCTATATATTTCCAGATCCAATTCAAGGTGTTGGTTTTGGCCTCTAAAACCCTTCAGAGTTTAGGACCACAATACCTGACAGAATGCTCCTTCTGACTTCTATCTAGCCAGATGCTATGATCAAATTCTGGGGCTTCTCTCTGACTGCCACCTCTGCGAGAAGCTTGGATGATGGCAACAAGAGTCTTTTCGGTGGCCCTCCAGTTATGGAATGAGCTCTCCACTGAGGCTTGCTTGGTGCCAACTTTGCTATCTTTTTGGTGTTAAGTAAAGACCATCCTCTACTGCAGGGCATTTAATTTGTTACTGGGACCTGCTGGTTGTTAGAAACAGTTTAACTGGATCTTTTTAAACCTAATTTTTTTTGTTTTTTTAATTTGATGTTAAATTTTGTAATGCCAAAAACGCAGAACAGCCCCATCACTTCCAAACTTTTGTGCCATTATATCAGTCAACTCCGATCTGGTGCCTGTCAGATGCTTGGACTGCAGTTTCCATCAGCCTCAGCTAACATGGCTTAATAGGCAAAAATTATGGGATTTGTACTCAAACACATACGGAGGGCATGAGAATGAAGCCCCCCCCCCCCACACACACACACACACACACACAAAATACCCCTCCATACAAAAGTTGAATGGAGTACCTCCCTCTTTTTAAAAAGACACACCTCTGGCGCCCTCTCCGGTCCTTCGCAATCTAGCTCCGCCCACTTCCTTTGAAGTGAAGATTAGACTCTAGAGTTTCCCACCTAGCCGTTGGTTGGACCGCCAAGGGAAGCAGCCATTTTTGTTCCGGGAAAGGGAGTCTTCGCGATCTTAAGAGGTGAAAGAAGTCACCCGCCGATTTACTCTAGGGTTTTTAAAAAATCACTCGACCGAGGTCTCACCGTATATTAAGCGGAGGTAAATAAGGGGAACGCGGTGAGTAATTATACGGCGAACCGTCTTCCCCGCTGCCCTCACTCAATATGTCGGCGCGATGCAGGCAAGGACCGCAATCTTTTTAACAGGGATGTTGCTTGTGCAAAATGGCCGGCGAGAGAAGGTGGCGCTCTAGCGTGGCGTCTCTATGACTTGAGCATACTGGTGGAGTTCAGTTTTGCTGAGTTGGGGGCTGCAGAATGAGCGGGCCCGAAAGAGTCAAAACGAGCAGGAAGGGATCGGTGGCGGCTGCAGCGCGACAGGCGTGATAGCTCTCAGTGTAGTGGTCGCCTCGGTTGCTCCTGCTCTAAGCCAGGCATTGCCCAGCCTGCTTAGAGGGGCTGCTCTTTTGCTAATCCGTCCTCTTTTCACTTTCAGGCTTTTTCTCCTCAATCATTAGGATCCTCGTCCTGTTGCTCCCTTCCGTGCCTCAATCCCTTCGTCCTGTCCCCACTTTTGCTTCCTGGGATCTCGCCACCACTCCAGTCTACCCCGTTGCCGCACATCTTCTAAATTATCCTCTGATCTGACTTGCCCCTTATCCGAACAGTCATCGTAATCCCCTCCACCCCTGTATGTTTTTCAGCTACCCGACTCGATCCTCCAGCGGCTGACCCTTAAAGCTTAATCCGGCTCCATCAGCTCCCTCTTCCGTGCTTGGCATTTACCCAATCTGAAAGTCCCCATCCTGTTTCCCCACCCCTTTCATTGCTCGAAAGCTGTCGCCTCCCACTTCTCTTTTTCCTTTCTTTACACAGATCCCATTTTCGCTCCCACCCTTGCATGATTCTTAGGGGGGGTTCTCTGCTACTCTTTACCCTTGGAAGGTTCTGCCCTGCCTACCTTCAACACTCTCGGGTCTTTCCTTCCGGGGTGTTAAAGCAGCCCCCCCCCGCCCTTTTGGCTGGAGCAGTCTCCCATCTTCCGTTCTTTCATTGCTTAGTTGCACTTTTGTTTCTTGGTGCCCTGCTTCTCCACTGCACTCAGATTTAGGAGTAAACACCCCACCCTCTTATTTTTTGTTTAACAATTTCCTGAACTGCAAGTTTCCTCTTCGCTTGCATGCTTGCTTCTTATCGTTAAACCTCACTAGATCATTCTGGCTGCTTGCTTTTTGACCTCTTAGTCTTCTCTCATGGGGACATGTAAAGCGCTGGCTCTAAGCTAACTTTTAGTGCTTCAGTATTTCTTCTTGTTGCTGTTATATTTGGGTTGGGGAAAATCTGTGTGGTACATAGCTCTATACGGGTGGTAATAGTATTTGAAGAGGCTGAAGAGGAGGATGCCAAGGAAACTGCTGTTACCTTATAAATCTGTGTTTTCTCACTCCCGAGTTCCGAGGGGTTTGCATGATTCCTTGGCAATGAATGCAGCCAGAAGTGGCTACCGGGTCTTCTCAGCAAACTCCACAGCAGCTTGCACTGAGCTGGCGAAGAGAATCACTGAGTGAGTGTCTCGCACTTTTTAAGTGTCATGTTCCTCTGTATTAATAAGTTTGATGGTTAGGTTGGTGCCCAGGCCCTTGCCATATGCAACATGTGGTACAGAAAATAAGTCATATTTGCTCAAAGAGGCTTCCAGCAAGGGTGGGGGGATTTGCCACGGATTTACAATGGATCAATTGAATGACGGAGGTCAGTTCAGCCTAGTACAAGAATATATGACCTTCTCAAGCATTGTAGCACCACTTTTGGCAATGCAAATGTTAAGAAGCTTGATTATTTTCCATTCAGATAGCTGGGGTTTTAAGCAGTAACTGCCTTATGCTTTCAATGTTAATACTCAGATTTAAATATTTTGAATAACATTTAATGAGGCCTTAGGTGAAATGAGCTGCCCTAAAGGAGTATAAACTGTGTGCACTTTCCTTGATTCCACTGCTGCTCCTGAGAACCATTTTATAAAGCAACTTACTAATTACTTCAAGAGAGACAATAGTTTTCATTCTCACCTAGTTTATGTGTATCTTGTTTGGGTATCTTTGGGTATCTTGTTTGTTTTTCCTACCACAATGTTTAACTACTCTGTCCCCATTATTTACTGTATTTAGACTGGAAAGCTTGAAATTAAAAAAAAAAGTTGGGTTCACAACATTTGCCTGGAAGCCAGCTAAAATCTGTGGCAGCACCAACCCAGTCCCTTTCTGGTTTAGGAGAAGGCAGGAGTCTTGTCCTGATCATGGTCTGAATTCTGGAGGCACTAGGAGAAATGTCACTGCTTTGGAGTGCTTCTGAAGTTTAACAAGACTAGAGGGACAAGGTTCTACCTTCTTTAAACGCCCCTGAAGATTTGCAGAAGGTCCTTGATGAGTCCTTTACTTATCTCTCACTGTGGACTGGAGTGGGCATTACAAATGTATTCTTACAGACTTGGCCTTTGGTGAGAGTTTTCAAACTATAGTTTCAGTGTTTAGGATGTCTTTGGCTGCCAGTTAACGACTTAGTGCCAATCAATGTATTTCATATAAAACATGCACCAAATATGGTTTTAGATGGATTCAAGGTTGGTTAGTACTAAGAAGAATTAGTAAAGGGAAAATCTTTTGATCCATTTTCAATATATTAAAAAAGATAGTTGTACCATCAACTTAAAATACAAATTGCATGAAATGACATAGCACATCTTTTGTCAAAAAACTTTACTAAAGCTCTTAGATTTTAATTGTTTAACAGGTAATAATATTTCTGAAACATTCTTGTTCTTAGACTTTTAATCCTAATGAGTTTAAAGGGAGAGAATTCATTCTAAGTACCAAGTTGCCAATTCAGTACTGAATAGATCATTCAGTTGATGGGTATACAGACCTGGAGCATTTCTAATAAGAAGCTTCTGTATTCTAAAACCAGCATATATTGGTTGTCTTTTGTGTCAAAATCACCTCAGAACTGATATTTGCTGTGTTCACACATGATGCCAAGCCATGTTGGAGATTGCTTGTCATTATGTATGAATTCAGCAAGCATGGTGAAGTGTGCCATACCCTGAACCCCATGGAGAACCAATAATTTGTTCTAAGGTTCTGTGTTGCAGCATTGCTTGTTTGTTATGTGTGACTTCATTTACAGTGTTTTTCCATGATTTCCCCATTTCTGGCAGCAGGTTTGGCAGCAAGAGTGACTGCTGCAGCCACAATTTTCTGCTGACCTGTTCTGCCTAGCAACAGTTGAACTTCCAGTGGGCAGGGCGCTGATTGGCTGTCTCCATGCTCAATGGCCTTCCTTCTGATGTGAATTCCCAATGCCCGCCTGCCCCATCTCACCATGATGCCAGCCTCACTGCCACCCCTGTCACGGCCTGCCTTGGAGCAATGTCCTCCATCGTGCCTATCTTGTGAGGCCAGCGTGTGCCATGTTGCCAGCCCCACCTTGTGAGCTTGTTGGTGTGCCTGCCTTACAGGTGTCTTGACCTCACAAGATGGACATGCCAGGCGTGGCTGTGTGCCCTGGCAAGATGGTTATGGTGGCTGGCCTAGTGAGATGATGTGGTGAGGTGGGTGAAGCAAAATGGGCATGCCGATGGGTATCATGGCAATGGGCAGCTAGGCATTGGGATATGGGGCTAGGGTTAGGAAAGACAGTGCCTCCAGCAGCAGCAACCCTGGGGGCAGCTGTGTATGGTACTCCTCTCTGGTCAGTGCCACCAGCATGAATGCGTCAGGGAGCCCATGTCTCATGCTCTGCTCCCTGATGGGTTAGCATTATCTCAGTAGTTTTCCCTGTAAGTACAGTGCACTAAAGGCAGCTGTTTTCTAAAAATCCAGGGCCTCATTCAGTTACAAAAAAACCTCACCACTGATAAAACGTGCTAAAGGAGTATAAAAAATAATAAGTAGCAGTGAGAAAGGTGCTTCAGAAAGTCAACAGTGAAAACAGATATGTTCACAAAGGGAGATAGGTTAGATGAGGTGACAGAGCAGTAGGTGACTTTAAGGGAAGTGGTGATCTCCAACGTGATGCCTTCTGAGAGATTGGAGAGGTTGTCACTCATTTGTCATCCCTCTTTAAAAATGCAAGTAATTTGTGCAAATATTTTTGTTATTTTTAAAACTGTTTTGATAGTTTTGCAGGAATGTCCACCAGGCCGAGGCTTACCTAGACAATTGCCAGCATGCTGTCTGCTGTCAATGAGCAACAGGTTCCAACCATAAACATTAAGCTACAGAAGCGACAAATGCCTTTACTTTGCACTCTTTCGATAGCTGTCAAAAGGTGAACTTTCCAGAGAAAGGACATAAGAAATGCCATGCTGGATCAGACCAAATGTCCAGCACGCTATACAAATGGTGGCAAACCAGCTGCCCATAGGATCCCTCAAGCAGGAGGAGTGCAAGACCTCCTCCTGCCCAAGGTCCTCAGAACTGCTGTATGCAGGCAAGCCTGGTAAAGGAGGTAGCACATAGCCAGCAAGGCTAGTGGCCACTGATAGTTTCCTCCCCTATGAATCTGCCCAATCCCTTTTAAAGCCACCCAGATTGGCAGACATCACTCCACCCTGGCTGCCCTAACTAGTCCTTAGAAGAGACCTTTCAGCCTTTTACAGTGGTGGTGGGGAGTTGCACAAAATCCAAGAAACCATTACATGCTTGGTGGTTGTAGGAAAGAAGTGGAACATTTCTCCTAAAGAGCCAGATTTGAATTCCTCAAAGTCCAGATTTGGATTTTGGACCTGAGGTTCTGCAATCCTAACTGATATTCTGCACCCCTGACCTAGAGTCTAACGTAGAAGGTACCTTTCTTTTACTTCTCAACTGTATGTTGTTTTGAATGAAGGATGTGGTATTTCACCTATCTGAGAGAAGCTATACTTTAATAACTCTAAAATACTCTGTGACATGGCTGGAGCTCATGGAGTTAAATCTTGATGTCCACACTATAACTAGAGCTACCTTTTCTTAGAAACTCACAGAAATATATACTTGAAGTACTTTATTTGGCTGTATTTTTAAGGCTGGGCGTAAGCTATTAAAAGATTTTAATTTGCTTTAATGTCTCCTTTTTTAAATTCATCCCACTTTGTCTTATTTTGTCCATCACATGCTTTTGGAGTAGCATAGATTATGAACCTGATAAGTAGCTGTGCTGGAAAAGCCCTTTTTGATCCACTTTTAAGTAATCAATGCTATCTCCATCCGCTTAATGCTACCAGCATCTATGGCAGCTGTTGGAGGGAGCCATCAAAGAAAATCCAAAGCACTGTTGCCTACTAATAAGTATACCTTAGTTGTTGTCAGCCCTATGAGTGGTAGGTTCCGCGGAAATTACCTAACCTGTCCTTTTGCCGGGAATGCATTTGGTGAAGTTCACGTGAAAAAGAATAATTGACAATGGAATCTTTTGATGCTGAACAAGCAGATTCTTGAATGCTTAGAAAAGTGTAATAACACTAACTACATGGCATACTAGTATATTCCCCAGACCAACATTCCAGACTTCTAAAATGTAGCATCACTGCAATCTGTAATTTTTGTGTTCTCTCTCTCTCTCTCTCTGCATGTGTGCGCGCTCTATAATGCTTTCCTGTGTGACCAAAACATCATTATTTGCAAAGAAAAGTGGGGTGCAGGTTACTTACATTAATACAGTTGTGGAAAGGTTGCTGCACATGTGTGAACTTAGCATCTACCCCCTTAGGCATATGAAACATTTCCAGGAGTTGGAGCTACAGTGGCAATTTTAAATTAATAGATAATGTATGAAGAAAAATCAACACAGGCAAGCATATGCAGGTGTACTTTTTTGAAAAAAAAAAAAAAAAGGTTAATCCATGTGCACACTCACAATATCAGCAGCCTCTCTCTTGCAGTTACCTGGCTGTGAAGGCCTTTGCAGATTGCCAGAGAGGGCATCAGTGCCTGTGGGAGCAGCCTATAGTGTTGGAACAGGGCCAACATTTGGCTATCCACATATTTTCAGCCGCAGCTCCCATTAGCACTTAATCTTGACCCTGCTAGCTAGGGTTGATAAGAGATGTAAGTCAAAACCTTTGGAAGGCCACATATTCCCCATCCCCACCCAGGCATGGAAATTCTTAGTAATTTCTCTGACCTTGTTCATATCTATCTGCTCCAGCTGAACTTTGTGATGCTGGCTTCTGATTGACTTACAAATTCCGTGTGCTGTCTGCCCTTGGAAGCCAGATATTTTAGCTCAAACTACATAAACCTAAGACCCTGCACCACCCAGCACTTGTACTAAATAGGAAGAACTGTACATCATCTGTGCTAGCCAGGTAGAATTTTCTGGGCCATCTCAACAGATTCTGATCCTGTTTTGTGGTAATCACCTTGCCTCTATGCCCCATTCTTTTGGAAACCAGGTCAGGGTGTGCCTGTGTCCATTACAGTCCCAACTGCAAATTGTTAGTCAACTTAGTGCATACCAATGGGATAAAACAGTACAAGGCCTCTTCCCCATTCTATATACATTTTGTTTAATTCTCATTTACTC